GGGAGAGGGTTAGAGGGAGAAGCAGGCTCCCTGCCGAGCAGGGAGCCCGATGTGGGACTCGATCCAGGGACTCCAGGACCATGACCTGAGCCGAAGGCAGTTGCCCAACCAACTGAGCCACCCAGGTGCTCCTGTGATTCAACAGTCTTACACAATTCACAGCGCTCACCATAGCACATACCCTCCCCAATGTCTATCACCCAGCCACCCCATCCCTCCCACCCCCCACCACTCCAGCAACCCTCAGTTTGTTTCCTGAGATTAAGAATTCCTCATATCAGTGAGGTTATATGATACATGTCTTTCTCTGATTGACTTATTTCGCTCAGCATAATACCCTCCAGTTCCATCCACGTCATTGCAAATGGCAAGATTTCATTCCTTTTGATGGCTACATCAGGCAAGCTTTTGATGACAGCAGTCCCAGTTCCCATCTTCACTGCAATCTTATGGTAGACTGGGAACTGGCTCATTTAGCTAAGTTTTCCTCAAAAGCCCACCCCCAGAAACTGTGAGGTAATAAATGTGGTTGTTTGGGACATAAGTTCTGAAGTAATTTGTTATGGGCCGAATAGATAAAACAGACCATTACATTAACTTTGGTCTTGGTGACAAGTATTATGATAGAGGTGGAATGCAAGTTGTGGTACAGACACTGGATGAAGTAGTAGTTCTTCCAAAGACAGGCTGAGCTGCGATGCAAGTTTTCATGCATTCTGCAAGCCTGGTATATATTATTACTTGTTAATCACAAAATAATCAGAGAAAGGGAAATATTTATTTCTTTGTACATGGAGGCAACCAAGCACATTTTCTCGTATGAAGTTCTACAAGTTAAGGACACTTTAGTTTTTCTAGCCAAGTTTACAACTTTAACCAAGTGGCTAGATTCCTGAATTCATGTTTTTATTTCAGATTTGGAAAAGCAACCTACAGTATGTGGGGTCAGAGAAAAAGCTTCCAAACAAGATGTCTTGAAGTCCTTTAAGTTATTGATTCCCTTCTTCCCCCAGTAAATTCTTCAATAAACTGGAATGCCTCATCTTTCACAAAACTTTCATAAGGGAACATGCTAGCATTTTGGTTATCCTAGTACTAGTGTCAGCTGAGACTCTGTATCTGACAGTTCTTGAAAGATCTGGGCATTTCCTCTCTCCGTGTCTAATTATGCTAGTTTGTCTGCATGGGGGAGGATTAGGGGAATTGATAGTGTATATATTTACTGTATGGTGGGTTCTTTCTGAACCACTGGTGCATTTCTTACTGCTTTAGTGAAAGGGGTGACCCCTCTGGATTCTACTGAGGAGCATGGTCATCTGGTGGATTTTCAGATTTTTATGTCAGATCCATTGTAACATGACAACTTCTCCGAGCCTCTTGACTTTTGGTACTTGGCCAAAGCAATTCTGGCATCTCTACCTCATTTGTTGTAGGCCATTAGTTTTCCCCCCAAGCTTTGAGGAACCATCCCAGTAGCCCAGAACTGACTCCAGGTGTTCTTCTCAGGTATTCAATCCTGAGTTACAGATTGTACCCATATCAACAACCTCTCCCTTATATTCTGTTCCGTTGGTCCAGCATGCTCATGATTGATTTTCAACATGTTTTTCCAGTTCTTGCTGGTACATGTGAGCCACATACTGTGATTATTTTGGTGAATTATTTTCCTAGTCAGGCTGAGACTTGAACTTATTTATTGGCATGGAAGTCATGAGGGGAGGGAAGGTAGGTATCATCTTATGAGGCATTTACCTTAGTAAGGCTCCTGTGGTGTCCAGGCAGGGAGAACCTGCTCTCCCGTGGCAGTGGGGAGTGGGCCACTTCTTTAACAGCCAGCGGTTAAAGCCAGAGTAATCAGAGGAGATAAGGGAAAATTTAAATGCTGTTATAAAAGTTTTGTGGTTTTCAGTCGTGCTCTTAGTTGGTGGTTGGTCGACTCAACCTTGTTGTTTTGTTTTTCCTTCAACGTAATGATGATACTTAACAAAAACCAACTAAACCCACAGTTCTTGTAATTACCATTGCCATTTTATCTCTCAAGTGCTAGTGCTATTGCACAAGCCAAGGCATATCCTGCAATCTGTATCCCCACCCAATTCACCACAGAAGACTTAGTAATTGTATTACGAGAGCATGCCAAGGGGGATTATTACCCATTTACACCAATGTGTTAGTTATCTATTGTTTAGCAGCTTAATACACAGACATTTATGCTCTCTAAGTTTTTATTGTTCAGGAATCTGGGAGCAGCTTAGCTGGGTGTTTTGGTTCAGGATCTTCCACAAAGCTGTAATGGAGGTGTTGGCCAGGGCTGTAGTCATCTCACAGCTGGACTCAGGAGGAATCCTCATTTATTTTATTCACATCGCTGTTGACAGACCTCGGCTGCCAAACTAACTTGGGTCTTCACAGGGCTGCTTCGTGCTTTGACAGCTGGCCTCTCCCAGAACAGGCAGTCCAAGAGAGAAGATCCCAGAATGGAAGCCATGGTCTTTTTAGAACTCATTTCAGAGTGACATCTCATCATTTCTGCTTTTAAAATTGAGTGAATAAGTCTAGCCCACATTTAAGGAGAGAGGATTACACAGGGGCATGAATACCAGGAGGCAGGGATCCTGGAGGTCCATCTTAACCACAGACCCCGTTGTTCTTTTGCCATCTTGTTGGCAAGTGATCCACTTTCAGAATCCCATCCTTAGGATTGGCTTCCTAGGACTACTTCTGTTACCACATATCTTAGTTTGGGATAGAAGCAGACCTTGAGACAAAAATTAGATTTGCAGTAGTTTGATTAACAAGATGAATGGGACACTGATAGGGAAGTGGGGAAATTCCAATTCAGACTTGGGAAGATAGTGAAGAGTCCTCCCAAGGCCCAGAGTGAATAGGTGTGATAGCACCTATCCCCTCTCTCTGCAGGGAGCAGGCACCTCAAAGGAAAGACAAGATGTCTACCTCATGATGCTTGCTCTGTTTGGGAAGCAGAATCTCACAAGAGCCCCTTGACATCACGTGATAGCCATGATATCCTGTTGGAGAGAGAGACTGAGGATGTAGCCCACCTTCCTGACCAATCTTAAATCATGAAGCTAGTGGGTTTAGGTTAAAAAAAAAAAAAAGACATTTTATATCCTGGTCTCTCAAGGTCTACTGACATGCGGGGCTCCTGTCTGATTCAGTGGCTCCAGATCTAGGGAAGCCCAGGCTGGAGCAGAAGAGACTTGAACTAGGAGGGGAGCTCCTATTGTGTGTATGGAAAGAGACTCTATGTCTAGGAGATAGGGAAGGAAGTCCTATCCCAAGAGGAATGATAATCTTAATCCTGGTTCTAGGAGAATTAAGAAGGCGTTTAGGCAGAGTGGTAGGGAGCCAGGGTAAAGGGATTAGATGCCACAAACTATTATTGGATCTTGTCTTCCCCTCATCCACTTCTTGGAGGAAAGAATCTGTGGGACACATTAGTTAAAGCACTACACAATTACCCCCTTTCTGTGAAGAGTGAAATAAAAGCTAGTTTTGTTGTTTAATACCACAACTGCCTCCCAGGGAGTGTGGATCCTGATAAATAACAAGACTCTCCCCAGGCCCCCCTCCCCCCATTTTTTTCCTACTGAATCCCCAGATGGCTTAGTTATAAAGCCAGGTAATATGAACTGCTGAGAGCTAAACTGTCCTGGCCAGTTGAAGAAGAACTTGAATTTGCTTTGATAATCCAGAAGAGAAGAGGTAAAGTGCCATCGACTTAAGTGATGGTTTGAGGCTGGGTTATATAAGATGAAATACCACTAGAAGTTCCTCTGAGGGGAGTTATATTAAGAATGAAATTCTCATATCCTTCAAGAGAAACCACATTAGGGTCTCCACACACTTACACAATGCTGATGCCCAACTGTTTTCAAGGAAGCTGGAAGCCTACAGCATCCCATGGACCATGGGGTGAGCGCCCTCTAAGAGCCCCTGAGCTTAACCCTTGACCTGGAGGGCCCCAGACCTTTCTGAGCCCTACCTGGAGGCTGGCATTTTGCTACTAGGACAAGCTCAGCTATTGAGGACACCCCCACCCCAAATTCCAGTTCTTATGTGATTTTAACCATTCAACTTGCTGTTGGGTTTTAATTCTCTAATTATTATTATTATTGTTGTTATTTTTTAGGACTAGTTGTAGTGAATTGCTACTGAAAGCTATCCCAGGTGATACAGAGCTCTTTGTAAACCACAGTCACACGTTAGGGTTAGTATTAAACTTTGTTTAGATGTACCATAATTAACTTGGCTAGTTGATTGTTTGAAGTCTATGGAAGAAATAGTTTTATCCAAAATTTTAAAAATGCCAGTCTGTTCAGGGAGGTGTAGGGGTTTCAATGTTGTTGGTAGCCAGGAAGGCAGGAGAGCTGGTAGGTGGGGACACTGTGTGCCTCGGCTGTGTCACATGTGAGCAGGCCCAGGTTGACCTGGTGATGTGAATTGATCTGATCAGACTATTAAAAACGTTAGTACATTAAAAAAAAAAAAGAATGAAATACTCAATGTTCATTGGGGATTTATTTAAGTTGATGTAATGAAGACCTCCCCTCTACCATCAGCTTGCTTCAGCCTGAATGTTTAGTAAACTCATGAATGGTGAGGTTTTGTTTCTTTGGTGTGAAATGGGCGGAGCTTCATGGGGTGGGAGAGAAAATATGCAAGGAAACATGGGCCCAGAGGTAGAGATGAAAATGGGAGTATCTTGGGGTGACTTGTTTAAAGGGTCTGAAATTGGGTGATTCAGATCAAACTTTAAAAGGGAGGATGTTACTGGGTGACATTGGGTCACATAAGAACAATGTTGGTGAGGGTAGTGGGGGTAGGTAGAATCCAGATATGAGCATACTGCTGAATGTATCGGAGGCAAGAAAATAGAAACAGCGTTGTGTAGATAATTCTTCTAGACCACGAAAATGATACAGAACACAATTTAGTTGGTGAAATAAGCTGCAGATCTTGCATATATCACATTGTACTTAAGGTAGCAGGATACAGCGGATACTGAAAAAAAAAGTTGAAATGTTTCTAAAACAACATTTGTTTTGGATTTCAGTTTTTTTACTTTGTAGACAAGTAAGTTAGATCCTCCTTCCTCAGGTCAGGTAAAAATAGGCAGATTAAATCGGTTATGAGATTTTTCAAAATGGCATGAAGCACCAAGAGTAAAGAATATGTAAGCAGACTTATTCCCTTGTGGGGAATGCCAGTGTCCAATTTATGACTGGTGATTTATTTACACTGGTGTCTGGTTTGTGGGCCAAAGATAGATATCAGAATTTGGAATTCTTAAGATAATTTCTCCTTTGATATGAAACAAAAACAAGTGGCCTCTTTATAAACTATGAACTTGAACTTGGGCTAAAATTTTATGAGCTAACCTCATCAGTTAATGTGCCATGTAAAAAGAAGAAACCCACCAGATTGTAAATTAAACACTATTGGCAAGGGTAGGTGAATACTTAGGTATTTGCGGGCTTACATCTTTTATAAACTGGGAATAAAATAAGATATAGAGGGGAAGGAAATGTTTTACAAATTCCTGAAACCTTAAATTCCTTTACTGCCTCCCCCAGCCCCCACACTCCTTTTTCTTGGTCCCAAACACTCAGACGTAAAAATTATGTGAGCAACTTGCCATTTTCCGGTTTTCATTAATTCAACTGCTTCACTGATTTTATCCAGATTCAGAGTATGGGTAATTAGTGGATCTAGATTAAACTTCTTTGCCATATAATCAGAAACCAGTTTAGAGGCGCTCTCTCTGCTTTTCCAGCCTGGAAATACACAGATAAACAACAGATTTTATATATGAGACTCACTGTACAAGAAAGGCCATATAAGGTAACTGCTGGAGGTGCTGGCTTTGAGGAAATCAAAGGATATCCCATTAATTGTCTCAGTTATCCTGAGAATGACTGTTCCAACCATATACCTTGTATAGAAGGCTTTTCTCTTGAAGGAGACCTCTGATACTACAGAGGAGAATTTACTCAAAGCAAGTAGAACATGGATCTCATCTTAGATGTTCTTGGTGTCAGGTTGTACTGTTTGGGGAGCTGTAAATCCATATCTAATGTATAACAAAGACCAAAGTCTAGGGAACTATGAAAGGAAGCAATTCAAAAGTTGTGTGTGTGTGTGTGTTTTGATCTGCAGCTTCCTGAAAAAGCCAGGTATCTTAAGAGAAGAACTTTCATCATGGTAGTGATTTTAGTCACAGCTTTTAGAAAAAGAATTTGTACAAAGCAAGGTAAAAATGAGGTGTACTTTATGGAAATAAGAATTGCACAGGGAAAGGGGGTCAGCTAAGGTAATGTAAGCTTGGTGTTCTCTTTTCTCTATTCTCATGATTTTCAAGGAATACTATCCTTATATTTAGCATTGTGCTGAGTAACATGCCTAGTGGGTCCTGACCCAGAATTTGATGGCCTGCTCGTTCCTGGAAGGGTGAGTGTAGTGTAATTGTTCAGGGAAGCAGCGGTGTTATAAGCAGCTTATCCTGTGACAGGATCTTGGCAGTTACTTACTTTTCTTGGTTCCATCCTGGGCCGGGTTCTCTAACCTTCCTGCTTACTCTCAAAACTACCTAAAACTTTTTTTTCTGTTAAGTTGGCTTCTGTTATATGTAATCAGTTCTAACTACTGCTCTATGTCATGACACGAATGGCTAGTGTATTTTTCTATTTGTTTTTTATCTTTTTAAAAAATTGAGATATAATTAACATATAACATATTAGTTTGGGGTATATAACATAATGATTTGATGCCTGTATATACTGTGAAATGATTACTACTAAGCTAGTAAACATCCATCACCATACACAGTTACAAATTCTTTTTTTCTTGTGAAGACAACTTTGAAGATCTATTCTTAGTTATTACCTTTGGCTTGGTGATCTATAAAGCATTTTCATATATATGTGAGAAATACTTCCCAGTTGTTTTTTTAAGAAAGGGTCCAGGACTAGGTGAGGCAGTGTTTCTCAATAATGGCATGGCATTTTGGGTGGGGAAAGTTCTTCATTGTGTACATTGTAGGAGGTTTAGCCTCTTGGCCAACACTGTCACTCCCACTTTCTAAATTTTTTCAGGTACAATTGACATACGATATTATTGGTTTCAGTTGTACAACATAGTGATTTGACATTTGTATACGTTGTGAAATGGTTACCACAAGTCTAGTTACTATGTGCCACCTTACAAAGTGAATACACTATTATTGACTGTATTCCCCATGCTATGCATTATATCACTGTGACTTATTCATTTTATAACTGGAAGTTTGTACTTCCTAATCCCCCTTACCCATTTTGCACCCCCAACCTCCCTTCCCTCCAACAACCACAGATCTGTTATCTGTATCTGTGAGTCTGGGTTTTGTTTTGTTTGTTTCATTTGTCATGTGGTATTTGTTTTTTTCTCTCTGACTTATTTCACTTAGCAAAATAGCCACAAGGTCCATACATGATAATGAAAATATCAAAATTTCATTCTTTTTTTTTTTGGCTGAACAGCATTTTATTGTATGTATATACCACATCTTTATGCATTCATCCACGACAGAAACTTATGTTGTTTCCACATCTCAGCTATTGTAAATAATGCTGCAATGACTCTAAGTGTGTCTGTATCTTTTTGTATTAGTGTTTTCATTGCTGGAATTGCTGCATCATATGGTAGGTCTATTTTAATTTTTGAGGAACCTCCATACTGTTCTCCACAGTGGCTACACCAATTTACATTCCCACCAGCAGTGCCACAGGGTTCCCTTTCTTCCACATCCTGTGAACACTTGTTATTTTGTCTTTTTGACACTAGCCATTCTGACTGGTATGAGCTGGTATCTCATTGTGGTTTTGATTTGCATTTCTCTGATGATGAGTGATGTTGAACGTCTTTTCATGTGCCTGTTGGCAGCTGTTTTTCTCCTTAGGAAAAAATGTGTATTTAGATCCTCTGCCCATTTTTTTGAATGGAATTGTTTGATTTTTTTGTTGTTGAGTTGTATAAGTTCTTTATATATTTTGGATATTAACCCTTTATCAGATACATGATTTGCAAATATTTTCTCCTATTCAGTAGGTTGCCTTTTCATTTTGTTGATGGTTTCCTTTGCTGTGCAGATACTTTTTAGTTTGATGTAGTCCCATGTGTTTATTTTTGCTTTTGTTTCTTTTGTCTTTGGAGTCAGATTCAAAAAAAATAAATAAAACAAAACAAAGCACTGTGATGTCAAGTGTCAAGGAGTTTACTGCCTATGTTTTCTTCTAGGAGTTTTGTGGTTTCGGGTCTTATATTCAAGTCTTTAATCCATTTTGAATTTCTTTTTTATATATGATATAAGATAATGGTCCAGTTTTATTTTTTACATGTAGCTGTCCAGTGTTTCCAACACCATTTATTGAAGAGACTGTTCTTTTTCTATTGCATATTCTTGTCTCCTTTGTCCTAAATTAATTGACCATATGAGCATGGGTTTATTTTTTGGACAGTCTGTTTGGACACAACATCTTTGTGTCTGTTTTTATGCCTATACCATACTTTTTTGATTACTATAACTTTTTAATATAGCTTGAAATTAAGGAGTGCGATATTTCTGACTTTGTTCTTTCTTAAGATTGTTTTAGCTGGGGCGCCTGGGTGGCTCAGTCGTTAAGTGTTTGCCTTCAGCTCAGGTCATGATCCCAGGGTCCTGGGATCAAGCCCCTCATCGGCCTCCCTGCTCGGTGGGAAGCCTGCTTCTCCCTCTCCCACTCCCCTGCTTGTGTTCCCTCTCTCACTGTGTCTCTCTCTGTCAAATAAATAAAATCTTAAAAAAAAAAAGATTGTTTTAGCTATTTGGGATCTTTTATGGTTTCATGCAAATTTTAGGATTATTTGTTCTGGTTCTGTGAAAAATGCCATTGGAATTTTGATAGTGATTGCACTGAATCTATAGATTGCTTTGGGGACTATGGACATTTTAATAATACTACTTTTTTCATCCATCAGCATGGATTATCTTACTATTAATTTGTGTCTTCTTCAATTTATTTCATCAGTGTTTTATAGTTTTCAGTGTACAAATCTTTTACCTCTCTGGTTAAATTTACTGCTAGGTATTTTATTCTTTTTGATGTAATTGTAAATGTGATTGTTTCTTGATTTCTCTTTTTGATAGTTCATTATTAGTGTATAGAAACAACAGATTTTTGTATGTTAATTTTGTATCCTGTAACTTTACTGAATTAATTATTAGTTCTAACAGTTTTTTGGTGGAATCCTTAGGATTTCGTATATTTAGCATCATGTCATCTGCAGATAGTGACAGTTTAGCTTCTTCCTTTCCAATTTGGATTGCCAAATTGTGGCTAAGTTTTGGCAAAGTCTTCCAATACTATATTAAATAAAAGTGGGGATAGTGGGCATCCTGGTCTTGTTCCTGATTTTAGAAGAATAACTTACAACTTTCCATTTTTGAATATGATAGTAGCTCTGGCTTTGTCATATTAGTCTTTATTATGTTGAGATACATTCCCTTTATATTTACTTTGTTGAGAGTTTTTCATCATGCATAGATATTGAATTTTGTAGAATGCTTTCTCTGCATCTATTGAAATGATTATGTAACTTTTATCTTTCATTTTGTTAATAGGGTGTATCACATCAGTTGATTTGCAGATGTTGAACTATCCTTGCATTCCTGGAATAAATCCCACTTGATCATGTTTTGTGGTCCTTTTATTGTATCATTGTTTCAGTTTGCTAATATTTTGTGGAGGTTTTTCACAGCTGTGGTCATTGGAGATATGGACTTGTAATTTTTTTGTGGTGTCCTGGCCTGGTTTTGGTATGAGAGTAATGCTGGCCTTGTAAAGTGAGTTTGGAAGCTTTCTTTTATTTTCATTTTTTTGAAAGAGTTTGAGAAGCTTAAGTATTAGTTCTTCTTTAAATGTTGGAATTCACCAGTGAAGCTGTCTGGTCCTGGACTTTTGTTTGTTGAGAGGTTAATTACTGATTAAGTCTCCTTTCTAGTAGTCATTCTATTCAGATTTTCTATTTTTTCATGATTCAGTTTTGGAAGAAAGTAAATTTCTAGGAATTTATCCATTTCTTCTAGGTTGTCCAGTTTGTGTATAATTGTTCATAGTAGTCTCGTGATTCTTTGTATTTCAGTGGTATCATTTACTTCTCCTTTTTCATTTCTGATTTTAGTTATTTGGGCCCTACCTCTTTTTTCTTGGTGAGTTTAGTAAAGGTTTATCAGTTTTGTTTATCTTTTCAAAGAACCAGCTCTTAGTTTCATTGATTTTTTTTCTTTTTCTTTTTAAAAATAATTTATTTATTTATTTTAGAGAGAGAGCATGAGCAGGGGCAGGGGCAGAAGGAGAGGGAGAGGGAGAATCTCAAGCAGCCTCCCCACTGAGCATGGAGCCTGATGCCGTGCTCGATCCCACGACCCTGAGATCATGACTTGAGCTGAAATCAAGAGTTGGATGCCCAACTGATTTTTCCTATATTTTTGTCTCTTTCATTTATTTCCTTTCTTATCTTTATTATTTAACTCCTTTTACTAATTTTGGGCTCTGTTCTTCTTTTTTAGTTCCCTTCGATATAAAGTTAATTGTTTGAGTTTTTTTGTTTCTTGAAGTTGGTCTGTATTGCTATGAATTTTCCTCTTAGAAGAATTTTTGCTGCATATTTTTTAGATTTTAGTATATTGTATTTCTGTTTTCATTTATCTCTGGGTATTTTTTATTTCTCCTTTGATTTCTAATATGACCCAATAATTGTT